GGTGGTGGTGGTGGTGGTGGTTGCTCTCTATCTGTGACGATTGGACGTGCCTGCCTCGAGCAGCGGCTTCGAGGAAAGGACAAGCGTTTAGGTACACGCGGCAGAGACCCTCCTGCAGCATACATCGACGCTTCTGTGCCATGAAGGAAGGCTGTCTGTCAGAATGTATACAACGAGGAAGCTCCATGCAGAGCTCTTCAAAAGGCAGAGGTGCGTAAGCATGTCTCGTAATTAAAGCATAAGCATGTGAAGCGAAACACATTGTAAGTAAGGCAAACCAGACGAGCACAGAACACAATGTGGACACGGCTCCTTCGCTTGGATGCGGACGTTGTGATTGGCCTGCCTGGGCAACAAAACTCTGCTGTTCAACCTCGCTTTTGCGCAATGTCAACGGAGAGCATCGTGCCATATACGGCTGTCTGCAAGCAGAACATCCCGCCTGAAGACGATTGTGGCTCCCTTTGTGCTTGTCCAGATGACGGTTTCCTGTTCTCTTCTTTTGGCAAACCGCAGAACTTGGGAGCAAAGACTTCTACAGCAATCTGCCAGCAAATGCGGTCAATAAAACCTCTTCATTTTCCAACCGACAGGCCAGGTCGGAGTGAGCGGTTGAATGGGATGCGGGCAATGGCAATCCAGGTAGCTGCCAGCTCTGAGAAGCAAAAAGCAAATTCAGATCCGGCCTGGTCGTAGTCCATTTCCGTGTTGCCATCCTGCCCTTGTAGGGCCCCTTCGATCTTCGACTTAAACTCCTCGCGCCACACACTGGACTGGATTCAGAGTGTTGCAGGGTTGTGCAGAGCGTTCTCATCTGAAGCATCCTCCATGTCTCCAGGGAAAGAGCGGTCAATAATTTTCATGGGCTCCTGACTTTCAAGATTGGTTCTGCATAAACAGTAAGCGCATCCATGGATGACGTTCCGCATGAAACCTTACACATTTCTTGTATCGTCAGCCACTGCGCTGATGAAAATCTCGGCTTGATTTCATGCTTGGCAGCGTTGTGACGACGCACCTCATTTCGAGCAGGACCGGGGCCCTTGCCTGCCAGAAACATCTGCAACATGTTCAAAGTAAAAGTACAAATGCTCCAAAGGCTTCTTGTACCATAATATCAAGAATCTTCGAGTTTCTAACGTCAATGCAAACACGTTTCCCGAATTCGTTTCGCAAGGGCTGACAAGCGATCATACCCGTCATACATCCGACAGAACGAACTGACAAATCAGAGCCGATTGGCGGCAAGTACATAATAATCTGCCAGGGCCCCCAGAGACTTATGCACCTCGCCATCCGTTCTAAACACAAGCCAGCGACGCAGCTGCGCGCTCGCTCCCCGGGATCAGGGCTGCCAGCCACGGTGCGCAACTTGCAGGGCAGACAATGCCGATGGCACGCTCCACTTGCACAAGACATCTGAAGTTCCTAAGTCGTTTAGTTGTTCATAAAGTTCATCTTGCCTGGAAAAGGCTTTTAGCTACTCTGCCATGGTTCCGTAGTATGCAGTATAAGCCCTGATTGCTCTCAATATGTTGGACTAGCCATGCTGCTTCGGCCAAATGTGAAGACGACATATCGGGTGCTCTTAGAAGCAGCTGCAGAAACCCACTTTCATCTATAAGTCAACGTGTGAGTCTGAGCCCTAGAAGCCTCGAAAGGCCAGCGACAATACGTGGCAGCACCCGCCTTGATGTGCGCTCCTTGGCGAGCCGGTGCGCTGCTCTGATCCCTGAGCTTCGAGGATGCCACGTCACTTATGCTTGAGACCACTGCCGATCAAGCTGCTGAAATCGTGTCATTGTCCGCTGTTCGCCCTTGTACTTTGGCTGCTCCCAATCTGTGATAGGTGCACCTTGGGACATGGCGTGTGCCAGGGGCATGAGCTCAGACCGATGCGATGACATCCGTTCAAGGCACAGGAATCGCTACCTCCATTATTGCGCGCTGCAAACTCATCCATCCATCCATCCATCCATCCATCCATCCATCCATCCCCATGCGCGAGACTATGAGAAGGCAGAAGGCAAACCTATCTATGGTGCCAGGTCGTACCTTTTAGAGGTTCTGCCTCTTCAAAGCTGCGCTGCATGCTTAAATGTGCGGCACAAACCGCATCTGTCATGCAATCAGCTGGAAGTGGCGGACGACCACTCCAACTTTCAATTTCTACGATGAAAATGCCCCCTGCAACACATGTGCACGTTGCGTTGAAACTCGCATCCGCACAAACCTGTACAGTCAGACGCACTAATGCACGCTCATGGACTCATGCCGTGTCCCTCAGCTCAAGGTTGCATTCCGTCCGAGCGTCCTGGTTGTACGTATGGCATTGGTCACCGGAGTTGGAGGTAGGCAAAACCGCGGCCGCTTTGTGTCCGGCTCCTCCATCATCTCAACATCTTCATCTTGTGCTGCGAGGCACGTCTCAGGAAGGACCTGCTTGAGACTGCTACTCTGCTGTCCTAGCCTCTTCAGAGAGCCCAATTTTACCCATAAAGCCTGGCGTCTGAGCCTGTTTCAACCTAATCTACATTTCATGAATGCCAGCCTGGAGCATGCCGTTTGTCTCAGACACAGGCACTTGAACATAGTATCGTCCCTGGTGAAACTTTGCAGGATAGACTCGGAGGCGTTCGCAATTGCCCATGGACTCGCCAGTCCTAAGATCGAACGTCTTGTTGTGTCGCGGGCATCGCACCATAGCCTGTCGCTGGTTGGCGAGATCTTCGACATCCTTCAGCTCGCCCTCCAACAAGCACACTCCCTGATGTGGACAAATGGAATCTGTGACGTAGACTCGATCACGCTTCTGAATTCCCGGCCCAACATTGAACCAGAAAAGCACCTCATGTTGGGTCAGCAGTGTTAGCTTCCTCGCAGGTGGCTGCATTTTGCGCAGAGCATCGTTGCGAGCACGCAGCGTAGCTCCGGCTGCCCAGAACTGAGGATTGTCTCCTTCGCTAACTGTCATTCTCAACTGGCGGGAAGGTTTAGGTTCTGCCTGGAGCTGCTGCTCCAGCGCAGATATCCACTGGCTGCCATCCACCAAGTCGCTGCATCTTTGGATTTCAGTTGGCACCCAGCAATACCGAGGATCCTCTGAATCTAGGATCAGGCCAATGGGCTCCGAGGGCTGCGACATGACAGCATGATATGGCTTTGCCACCCTGGCTCCTCGGCACCTTGGCTCATGTACCTGACAAACCAAGCCAGTGAGCAGCGATGGGTCTTCTCACGGGCGTAGATGACAAACAAGCAAACGGCAGATGCTCTTCCAAATGCTGCAGCCCCTGCAGAACCTGGAATCTGGGAGCCTGGCCGCTTGCTTGACGAACGGTCGTCATCTCCACGAATTTTGCGTATTCCTCGGTGCTCATCGTTGTGCCTGCAGAGGCACAGCAACTGCTGCCACCTGAGGGTTTTCCTTCGGTCCAAAAGCCCATAGAAGCATGACGGAGCACAGGGCTTTCAAATCATCTGCAGCAGACGGTAGAGAAACACAAAACTTGCCACGAGACCGAAACTATATCAGTTGTGCGTGCTGAATCCGTGCAACACCTACCTGCACCGCTCAACCGGCAATTATTAAGGCAGCACCACAATAAAAACCAAAGCTCCCGCGGCCAACATCACCAGCATATACCCGCCACATCTGGCACCCACGACAAACGCAGCAAGCATCCCTCGAGCAAATTGCACAGCTGCCAAAGCGAGGGAGCAGCAACATAGATCAACTTAGAATCACTCGCACTGGTCTGCGCATGATGCGGAGTACCCACAGGCAACTGCAATTGGGGAATGCGCTTGCCTGCTGCAACCTCCTCCTCATAGGACCAGTACGGCTCCAGCTGCAGCTCCTCGCCAGCCTGACTCTTTGCTGTTGTCGAGGGCGAGCTAAGTAGTATACAAAGGCAAAGAAGATGTAAGATCCCCCATGCGCCTGGAGGCAGGGAGATTCAAAACCGCCCTCCACCCCCAACCCCGACTTTCGACACAGGTTGAGTCCCTGCCTGCATGATGGACACTTCTTCTGCATTTACCCAGGCGTCAAGGAGGTCGAAACCAACCAATATTACATCGTCTTTAACTTGTTTCACGAGAACTTGCTGGCCAGGCTTGTGAAGGAGCTCTGCTGCCCGCTCGCCGCCGATCTTTAGGACGGCCTTGCATCCTGGAATTATCTCCGGACTGGACACACTTCCACGCACAAATCTGCACTTTCGGCCCCCACCCCCCCCCCTGAAACTAGAAAATCACAAATTAAAAAATGCAGAATCTGACCTATTCCCCCCACCTTCTTCACTTCTGAAGAACGGGGATATGTAAGCTGGCAGGGTGGGCTAGGGCTGAGCTGTCTAGGGGGTAGATTAGATTCCATCTTGTGAATCTCTTCCTTTTATCAAGTGGCGAAGCGTTTGACATCTGCTAGGCCACTGAGAGACACGTTCGACGAACGGCCTCCTGCCTAATTCGTCTGGCATCCCTTTTCCCACCGCTTGATACAGTTGACAGTTGGCACGTGGAAAGGGAGGATCGCCGACGTAGGCGTGAGGTCAACCACGGTTTTTGGCAGAAGCTGCGAACAGTACTACGTCCACTGCCGGTCTTGGACCGTTCTTGTGCACAGCAGCCGAGCTTGAATCATACGCTGATGAACTTCCAGTTGCTGTAGTTGCCCGGAAGTATGTTCCTGACCCCAAAATTTGCGTGAGCTGGAGCTGTACTCTAAATCCACTGCTGGAGTGGTGGACCACTAAACCGCTTCGGGGCCTGGATGGTTTCACCTGAATTTACGTACGATTTTCGGGGTGAACCCCTACCAATGGGGATCAGACTGCCCACAAACAGTGAAATACTGACGCGACCGCGCCTGCGAACCACTGAGCTGCTTGGAGAATCTGGCCAGAACAAATTTTGCATAGGCTAGCTTAAAAGGCATGTGCCGTGTAACTTAAGTACCAGTACATGCAAACGTGCTGGCAGACTGGTGGATGAAGACAGGCTTCAAAGGCCGATTCTCTGGCCTCAGGTGATGCAGGCGGAGAAAAGTTCGAGCTACTCCTGTGGCGTTGCTTGCGCGGACTTCGCGCCTTAGCATTGGAGGGTCGCACACATCATCGTTGAGAGTCATCCGGATGGCTGTCCTGGCAATCAGGCGCCGCGCAGCAGGTTTGCATCAGACTTCTTGCGCTCCATCTAGCAATATGTAACTACCATTGTCATCAACTGCAACACTGTCCACAACAAAAACTTCAAGCGAAGCTGCATCTTGCAGCACTCAAGCAACAGCAAGCGAGTGCCTCTTTCCATAGTTTTCTTCGCAGGCAAACATGGTCTTCCAAATGTTCGCCTTGCAAGGTCAGCCATAAACCTGGTAGCCTCACAACCTTCGCGTCACTGAGCTGCTGACAGTGGAAAGCGTCGTGGCTCTTCGCTCTATCTCCGTGATGTCTGGGTCTGTGGACTGGCTGACTTTCAGCCTTGAAAGGCTCCGTGCCATTGCTCATGATAGTCCCTCCCGCGAGCTCCCGCGAGTTGCGGACACCATGTAGTCTACGATGCGGAAGGCTCGTTCCGAGTTGACCACGATGTTCTGCATGGAGTCGTTCCTGGACGGACCAGCCGGAACAGGCAGTACGACTTGATCTTAGCCCCCACTCGCCCAGCATTGCTCGTGCCCGGGAGTGCCCACAAGCAATAAGGGCGCGGCGGGCCAGATGATAGCTGCCTCAGCTGCATGATTCACCAAATGATAGGAGCTCTGCCCTTCGCGAGGCTGTTCATTGTGGAAAGTGACCATGAGCTACAGTACCTGACAGGGGTCATGGTGATGAACAGCAGGCGGGCGGCTGCAAGATGTATATGACATGTGTTCAGTTGTCTATCCTGTGTCCCAACGTATCCTGTGTCCAACGTGCTGAGAGCCGAGGTCAGCACCACACCAGGCGTACCAGCGTGTGCTGCATGCCAAATTTGTCTCAGCAAGGCTGCACGATTCCACATAGCACTGCAAAAGGTGGAAACGCAAAAGTCTGTGGAGGGGACAGCTGAGACCTGAGGCATCCAGGACAATCACCTGCAGCTTTTTCCCTGGGTAGAGCTCTGCCATGATCCGTCCTTCAACGGCTTCACATAAAACAATGGGAGTAGGAGGCGATTCTTTGCATGGCGCAATGATGAGTGGGGATGTCGTATTACGGTAGTTTGCATCCATTGTACGGACTGCAAACGCCAGACATCTTTCTGACAGGTGAGCTACAGAATGCCTTGATTTTCTAGAAGGTCTTGACATGCTACAGATTCTGGAATGGAGCTGATATTGCAAGATCTAGTGGAGATCAATTTAAGAAATTGGGGCTGTCCTTGATTTCATAACCGATTATCGAAAACAAGGCATTTCAGATTGAAATATCTTGAACTTAGATAAGAGGATCGGAAGAAACTTAAGGAGAATGAGGACCTTCCCCATGTCCCGCATTTTCTGAACTAGAATATGTGCAAAATAATATCAAGGGAGCTTGATGGAAATTCGGAATTTCGTGGCTTCCTACCAACATCCTGGGCTTCTGACGGTCTAAAACACAAGCTATACAAAAATAGTCTAAGTAAAGGAAGCTGAAAAAGTTATGGATTTCCTGGATCTCGAAGACCACTATCGCTTTCAGAGTGTTTAGCCGTGATTGTCAGGGACTGAGGGGGCGCGTGTGTCATGGACGCTCATCTGGCCACCGCTCCCACCGCAATGCAGCATGCAGGATGTGGGATACCCAAATACATAACCTTCCAGTCCCCTTGACAAAGACAGCAGTCCTAGAAGCCGGAGGAAGGCGCTCCCCGGACCGGCAATGTCTCGGTAATCGATCTTGTTGTCTTTGTTGCCCCGAATCTCGATGTCCTTTCATTGAACAAGGGATAGTTGTGGTTGTTGTTGGTCCTCGCTGGTTGTCCATTGCTCCGCTTATGACCACCGGCCTGGCCTGGAAGAAGCTGAATTGCTCGGTCCGAGTTTCTCCTGCACGGCGATTGCGCAGTGGCTGGCCACCGCTAGCCGCTTGCACGGACAAACATCTCTCTTTCTGCTACAGGAGGCTGGCTGGTCTGTTGAACCTTCTTTTGGACTGCATGTTGCAGGAAGACATTCTGGGCTGCGACAGCTTTTGTTTTCAGATTTGCTATTAATTGCAGAACGTCCGTTGTTTCAAGGCCTTGGTTTTCACACGATCAGCGTGCTTTCAGGATTTGCTAACAGGAGATCAGTGATTCCGGGATGAAGCTTCTGGGTTTGGGGCTTGGGGACGCGGGGTTGGGTATCGCGGCTTAACTTCTCTCTCGAGACCAGAAAGTGACCGTGTTAAGGGCGTGCTTCTGCTTCCCAGAGAGGGAGTTGAAGGCACATTACTTCGAGGCTCAGGCTTGCGAGTCTAAACTTCTGGATTCAAACTTCCACATTTTGAGCTGAGGGGTTGGGCTTGAATGTGGGGGCTGAGGTCTAAGAGAAGGGAGTTCCGTCATCAGTTTGAGGTGGGCGCAATTGGCGTCGTAGACTCCAAAGGTGACATGAACGAGCCCCACCTTCCCTCGAAGTCTAACCATACGTCCCAAGCACAAAGATTGCGGCATACTGCAGCTTTGTGAGGCTGGCACCCTGCAATCTGGCAAACCCCTTTTGGTGCAGGAAGACACTGAGCCGATAAAACCCACGCTAGCGACACGAAGCCGAAGACATTACAGGTGACACAATGCTTTGCCCAAGAGTCTGTGGGCCTAAAGTCAGCGGAGCTCCAAGCTCGTACATCTTCGCAATGTGCCTGCACATGACAATTGATGCGTTAGATGTGTCAGCATGCGCTAGCATGCACCGGAGGGTGGCTTGCTAGAGCTGTGGATTCGGTTATTCTGGACCATTCTGGCAACAGTCGGTGCAGCAGACTCTGGAGAGGCGCACTCGTAGAGAACCTCCAGTGTACCCGTCTCTGCAATAGCCAACTTCTTTGTGTTTTTCTGACCTTGACAGGCATCTCCCTCAGCATCTTTGAAGCACTCAATGTCAATGCTTCATCCCTATCCCTGAGGCACATGCCACCACACCACCAATCGCTGTAGTTCTTCAGCACCTAAGCATTTCTGCGTTCAGAAAATGCTCTGGGACCTCGAGCGAGTTTGCCAGCCTGATGCGTTGCATCCTGAGGATTGCTTGTCTCTCTCGCCTGGCACAGCCGCGCGACGCTTCTGCTCGCATGCCCCTCTGTAGTCGACCGACCATCCAACTCTCTTTCTGCCGTACTCTCGGCGGTTGCGTCTCCATTTTCATTGGCATCGAACTTGTGATTGACATGTAGCAGGGTGCAAGTGTTGTGTTTCAAAAAAAGTTTGCTCTGCTGTTGCTGTCCTCCAGGCTTCCGTGTTCGGACTGCAAGGTGTCGATTTCTGGCACAATCCCATTTTGAGGGGGCTGTACTGGCCACCTCCCAGCATTGGTTTTGCACCCCAAGCTGTCGGGCCAGCCCGACCAAACACTTGTCCCCATCTTCTGAATCGGACACGCCGGCCGGCAAAACGCGCAGCAACAGCAGCCGTGGCAGAGCTTTGAATCCACGATGTGCGGTCAACTTGCGCTTACGAAGCCTGAGTGGGAGGGCGGAGACCACCCTAGTCAAGGCCTTGTGGCTGGTGAGGGCTTGCACCTATGCACATGGCCTCGCAGCGACCGAGTTAACCAAGCCACTGCGCAGGAGGAAACACTTCATGGTCCTGGGAATTTGGGCTCCTTGATTCCCTTGTGAACGCTTCCTTTCTCACGGGTCTAGAGCGTGGCACCGAGGAAGACCACATCTAACAAGCACCTGACTAGTTGTACTCGGCCCCCTCCCCCTTTGCACTCTCTTGGATGGCACTCTTTGCCCACATTCCTCCATGTTTGCTGAAGGATTTTCCTTGTTCTGCCCTTCCTTCCTTCCTTGCTTCCACACGGACGCTTAGCCAGGCTCCAGCGCGGGTTGCCTGGGGAGCTGCTTGGTGCACACAGCCCCGCAAGTCAACACTGTTCGGACCTCAATTTCAGCTTAGCTCGTCTGTGACGTGAAGCGAATTCTGTTTGTGCTCGGGCAAAGTTTGCTACGCTCTGCTTCTTCTTCTTATTCTGCTTCGCGCTGCGCGCGTCCCTGAAGGGGCGCAGCGAAGCTCCGCATCGAGCACTGATTCAATCGAATGTACACTGAGAAGAACTCACTTCGAGGAAGGCTTGGCGCAACATCAACCAGTCTAGATCTTCTTCGTCTGCTCCCCCCCGAAATCCATACCTCCTGGACTGTGGTCTTTCGCCCCGCATCGCGATGGCAAAGCTAAACAAGCTGAAAATCTTTTGTTAGAAATAACGAGGGATTAAACTCAACATTCGCGACAGAAAAGGACGCTCCCTACGGACTTCAAGAGAACAACCAAAACATTCAAACCCCTCGAGCCCATAACGGCGGAGACCGAAACTCCTACATTGTATACGCACTGATCCTTGTTCGAATTGCCCCACTACACAGAACAACCTAATGCCCCAACAAGTATAGCAATCAGACAGAGCTCGCTCCATGATGTCCATGCACGTTCCTGTTTTTACAGGAATCTATGTGCAAGGAATTAATCTGATGGTATCCCTTTACAGTAATCTCAATTACATAAAGGTTCGTTGCGCCTATCTAGAAATCGTAAAGAGGGCTCCTTCCCTTTCCTCCACCATCATCTTTTGGAAGCTAGTACTTTCTGTCGGGTTTCAACACAATTCCATGCTTTCAGTGGTTGATTACCTTCTGTCCCTTCCGTGTTCTCGGCCAGCTCTCTTCTCAGCATGCGGAGCTTTGTTGTTAGGTTAGGTCCATGACCTTCTCATCGCTGGGCACCTTCCCCTGCCTGGCTAGGGAACTTCATGGAGACAATGCGCCTGTTCCAGCACAAGTCTATCCTTGTCTTCCTGCCTCCTAGTCATACCTCAGCTTCCCACCGTTTTCCCACGGCGTCCCTGCGTTCACCAAAGTATACTTCTCAATGAAAATTAAGCAACCCGGAAGATACAAAGCTCCCGAGCAAACTTTGATCCGCTCTCCTCTTCTTCTTCTCCTTCTTCTTCTGCATGCCTCCCGACGTCCCAAAGAACGCGCCGGGGCTTAGCCCCCATGGCAGCTCCCCTCTCAGGATTGTACACTACAAGACTCAGAAGACGAGGAAGAGCTGACCTCTGTCTCTCTGTCCTTCTCCCTCCTTGTTTCTCACACACTCTGCTCTTCCTATCCTTTGCTGGGCACACGGGGTTCTCGTTTGGACCTCCAAAAAGCGCATTGTCCTCTCCAGCACGTCCCCAGCCTGCTTTCAAAACTCACAAACGGGCAGGCACAACCAACCGACGCAGGATCATCGGAACTGAGTTCCGGGCATCGCTTCTGTCGGGAGTCACCTGCTGAATGTCATGTAAGAAGCTTGGCCGGAGCAATACTATCGCGCGGAAGTGGTCTGTTTTGTGGTACATGATCAAGTGGCCATGACAAAAAGAGATAGCGATGAAAGGCATCGACGTCTACCGGCAGTTATTGCGCGTGCACACCGCGGTCCAAGTGCGCCTGTCTTCTGTTTTTCAGGTTCGCCAGGAGGGAGCTAGCACCTGCAATGATGACACAGACTGCCGCTGAGGACCTTTATGAAAGAAACCCTTGTCACGAAACATGATTAGCTGGCGACCCTGCGCTGTCGCTGCCATAGTGCCGCTGCGTCGGTAGGAGCAGGTGCGGGTGAAATTATCAAGGTGCACTGCTTCAGTTTCCAGATGCTCATGCTTTGGCAAGTGTTTTCTGACTTGTTGCAGTGCTGAATCTACTTGTCATTCTGGAGCAAAAACGCAAGCTTGTAAAAGCAAATTGCAGGCTTCATGTAGCTGGCTAGTTGCCGCAGAAGCAACACCCTAGCAATCTACGTCTATGTGACTATCAGGCCTCTTGTGCCGCCGCCGCCGCCGCCGCGCAGACGCCGCAGCAGCAGCAGCAGCAGCAGCAGCAGCAGCAGCAGCAGCAGTCGTCGTTGTCGCAGCATCCGGAGAAGTAATGAAAACGGGTGGAGTTTCACAATTTGCAAGACTAGCGGCGAGAACAGCAACAACAGAAGCAACAACAGAAGCAACAGCAACGCTAGCAGCTGTAGCAATACTAGCAACAATGGCTCTGGTCACTGGCGTCTGTAGACTCTAACTTTCTCATCAGCGCCAGGAATGCTCTGCCCTGTGCGACGCAATGCCCGTGTGGCCGAAGAATTGATCCTGGGGCTTGGCTGCTGGAATTCGCAAGCAGTGGCAGTCACTAGAGAACGCCGGGAATGTTGAGGCTTGCCTTCTCCCAGCCGAATCTGCAATGGCATGGTCTTCATGTCTGACTATTTCTTAGACGCGAGTCCCCAATGAAGGCCATGTCGGAGGCGTTGTATCTCAAAACCTGGCTCACACATGCGACGATGAGTACAAGAAGGCTCAGACCCAGCTGCCAAACAGAGTGGGTCTCAGGCGCTCATGGCAAACGGGGGCGGCCCCGTCCCTGCCACACAACACAGCAGAGCTATGCAGGAGGCCCAGCAGAAGTACTTAAATCACATGAGATCATGGTGCTAGAGCGCCTTCCAAGACATTGCAGGAGCTGAGCTTTTCACAGCCTAGGTCGACACCGGGAGGTTGGAAGGCAAAGACGGAAGAGACATCAAGCCAATCAGTGACAGCCATTGGATGCAGCAAGGCTTCGCTCCATAATGACCTTGATGGCAAAGTCCAAGAACCCGGAGCCTGCTCAATGCAAGCCACAAACACGACTGCATGGGACATGGGACAGTAGTCGCCTTTATCACCGCTGAAGATGTGGTTGCCGATGTTTGCACCACATACCTGCTTCAGTGGCTGAAGCACTATGCCGTGCATCTGTGACATCTAGAAGGAGCCTTATGGGTGACAAAAGGCCATCTCCACAGCTCAGCGCCTCCAACTTCGTCGAAGCCACCTGAGCCGGGTACTCGCGAACGCCAGGGCGCGGACGATTGATGCTTCAAAGCTCGATGATATGACCGAAGGGCCCCAAAAGTCCAGCACGCGATGCTTGCGTCATATCAAGGACTCTGCCATCACGCTGCAGTCAGCCATGGGCAATACATCAGAGTGGCGGGTTGCAACGTGGTCCATGTCAATGTATATACCACCATACTTCAGTGGCGCCTGCCAGGAGATGTCCAAGATGCTTGTGAGATTTCTAAGCATGATACATCTACTCAATTTGCCATGCAGGCGAGCCGTGTCGTGCCTCCAGACGCCAGAAATGTGACTTCAGGGCGCAAACTCCTTCGCAAAGAAAGTGCGTGAGGATTAATTACGGCCGAATCCACTTCACGGGCGGCGCAGCGGAAAGCATTCCAGTATTGTACGACACCAACGAAACATTGCTCCACAATTCAGAAGGACACAACCGACGCTATTTAGCGGCAGAAAGCATGTCCGGCCTGGATTCCGGTTGTCCTCATGAAAATTGTCCAGGTGACGGATGAGGCGAAGAGATTGGAAAGACTGTGCCTTCAAAGACAGTGCAAAGCGTCAGCTACTTTCTTCAAAGCCTCATGCTGGACCTGGCTTGACATTCCGTACAGGGCGCGCCTCTGCATATGCATCCTGCGCACACTAGCAACAGCACAGCAATTGCAAGCTGCCATACATTGAAGTTGATCTCCGAGAAACGTCTGGCCTTGAGATGTTCTCATCAATATATGCGTGCTATGAAGTTGTAACTAGCAACATGAGTTCTGCAGATAGTCAACAGCACACATGCGCAACCGACCCACACAACACACATCGAGTCAGACGTCCAAAGAGTCCGCGGTTTAGTCTTCTTAGCTTTGACCTCCCATATGCTTGCTGCTCTTTCACCAGCACGTCCGGATCGAGCTGTCGCTGTGACGCCAGTGTCGCAACGTACCACTTTGTCTGAAGTGCTGCAAAACCGGCGCCAAAGCTTTCCTGCAGGGTATAGTCTCCCTCATAGTTGACTGACTTTTCCGATGTCACTGGTGCCTTCTGAGGCTTTGTGTGCTCTTCGGCCCACTTTCCCAACCTCTTAGAGATGCCGGGCCCAATGGCTTCCAAAACGTTTTTTCCAGAAAGACATTGCGCTGCTTAGCAGCAACCTTGTTCGACACCTTGGATTCGACAAGGTACATTCTGAGCTGTTGCAGCGTGCAGTGGTCGCCTGGTAAATACCGTAGGCGTAGGAATTTAACATATTGAATACTAAGGCTAAAGCCCCTTTGCGTGGTCAGTCAAGCACCTTCTGCAAGCCAACAGATGTATTTAGAAACAAGTTCTGTTTTAGTAACAACCTTCCTCTTTTTCTCAGTGCGACAAAGGGTCGGGTTCGGTCACAGTCGCACCACTTGGTAGCGTTTTGAAGGTGGTGGGGTTTGATCTTCCCGTAGGTAGGTCAGTTTCTCGGGATGATCAGAGGGCAAGGGCCGTCAGCCTCAGCACTCATTTGATCTGTTGGGCTTGTGTTGTTGAGCACGGGCCTCCAAAGCGCAGAGAGCTTGTTTTACCACCTTCTCTTCAATTTGGATTTCTGATGATGCTGGGATTGCGCCAGGCAGGCTCTACAAGTCATGCAAAACTTCACTGGTTTCGCATGGACACCTGCCTCAGACATGTAGCTTAGCCCTTTTAATAGGTTTCAAGCTTGAGGTTATGATGTTTCATCTGGGGCTCGAGTCGCCGCTGTGTTTTAGCCGAGCGCTTGCGCCTGTGTACGACACGGGTGCACATGTGTGGGTCTCAGCCGCTTCAGTCAAAGGTGCGAAGATTTGTAGCACGCATTCGCGATGAGCCGAAGAGGAAAATGTCATGCCCCAAGAATTGATAGAATCCGTCCATACATCGTTCCAGTTGGTCTAGAACTATTCCGCAGGCCAATCGCGGATTTTCGCGGATCGACGCTGAAGGCATTTGCTAGAGGCTTGGCATGTTCAATTGTTGCCCAGAATGGGTGCGGGGGTAGACACGCATGCACTTCTGCCACATGTTCGCCACGTTCGGCGACCCTTTGAGGACCTTCCGCGTGTCAAAAAGAGCAGGGTAACTGCTCTACATACTGCGTAGTAGTTTGTTTCGCGAACTTTTGCGGATTCGTCGCTCACTCTCACACATCTTACGTGGGCCCATCGCAACTATTTGCGATGCACTGTGACATGATATGATATTCCATGTATCTGGCCTTACCTGGCCACATTTTGAAAGATGTAGACACGGGCCTTCAGATCAATCAAGGTCCCCGTAATGCCACGTCATATCACAGCGGACATCATGAAGAATGCCCTGTCCTTGAACTCAATTGGACCTGCATGACGTGCTGACGTACCATTCTCTAGGACCTTCTTGGATGCAAGGGGAATCTCCTGCCAAGTCTCTAAACCATACGCACACATGCGCGCTCATGTTATGTCTGAATTTCTGACTGACAGGTTGAACAGACAATGTAGGATGGTCCGTGTCAGTCCAGAAGAAGATGCGGTATTTGGGATTCTGGATGGCCTCCGAAAGTCTGCCATATCTGCTTGAGGAGCGCGACCAAATAGGCACAAGCTTCTGCAAGCGCCTAATTGTCAAGCCAAGCTGCAAATCCTTGAACATGGCTAGCTCGAGTCTCGGAGAGTGGTGAGCAGAGCCAGATGAAGTGCATAATCTTTGGCACCTCAGAGGGAAGGTCACCTGAACTCAAGCTTGGAGTCTTCTGATCTGCGACAGGCAACTGGTCGTGCACATGGCTTCGGAATGATGACGTCACCTAAGCTTAAAGTTAGCTGGGGATTACCGGGCCCTCTCAAGATGGCACTACATGCATGACCAACGAAGCGTCACCATGCGCTTGTGGGCTCGGCCCAATCGCAACTCCATGTGAAACACTGTCGCTGCGTGACTCAACGGCTATGTCTGGGAATGACTAATTGCCCAATCAACATGCAACGAGCACTTTCGTTGGCTTGAGATGCAAAGGTGACATGCCTGACACCTCTCAGGACTAAGGTTCTGCATGTACGTCAACTGATGCAGCCTGGGCGCTCTTGGGGTTCAGCATGCCATTCCTCAGGTTTTAAATTATTGACTTCGAGCATCCCCATCCTAAAGTGTGGGCCTTTCATACAGTTCTGACAAATTCCTTTACACGAGGTCTAGGGAGGTCTCTGGGCCTTTTATATAGGTAGCACAAATTCCTGCCAAATAGGTCTAGGAGAATCAATGCAAGCTGCAACACACCTCTCGAACATACCCCTCAGTTCTTCAGTACACAGACCATAAAACAGCTTTAACATGGTATGATCCTCTTTCAAAGCATTCTTAATGCAGAGTTTAGGCATTCAATAAAATGGCAATTTAAAATCTCTGATGGCACAGCAGGCAGCAGTGGCAAGGGTTTGTTTTACAATCGTTGCGCAGTTTGGTGGGCAGTCGTTTGGGAAGTCCAGTGAGAGCTGTCAGAAGATTTTGAGGTGGGTTGAGGGTTGAGGGTTTAGGTTGTGGATTTAGGATTGGGGTTTCTAGAAGGTCTCGAGGCTGAGAGGGTTAAGGGTTGAGGGTCTCGGATGGGACTGGAATCTTATCGAGTTTTAATTGATTTCAATACGTTTTAATGCATTGTTAAAGCTAGTTTAATGCAATTTTTAGCGGTATGTTAGATAGACTGCACAGGGTGGTGGTTCTTGAAGCCCCTAAAGAGTCGGAGCGAAATCCCTTGCCAGAGCGTGTCGGCCGCCTGAGGATGCCGCCTCTGCCATTCACGCCGCACCATGCCGCCCTCCGCCTTTCACCGCCCGCCCCCCCCCCCACCCACCCCACACCCCCCAACACTCCCCACAAGGCCCGACACACCCCTCATTCTGCAGCATGTCCCATCCATGTCTCAGCACCTGAGCGCCTTGGCATTACGGGATTGGGTGTTCCAAGCTGACAGGTCCAGAAAGTTAATGCCCTTTGATTGCAACTATAATGCTTCCAAGGCCTTTCCGGGATATGTTCCGGGGGTATGTTGCAGAATCCCTTGAGAGACGTGTGTGGGCCTTTCGAATAGGTATGACAAATTCCTTTCCAAAAAGTCTAGGGGAGGTCTCTGGGCCTTTCATATAGGTAGAACAAATTCTTTCCTAAGAGGTCTGAGAGAGGTGTCTGGGCCTTTCATATTGGCAGAACAAATTCCTTTCTAAGAGGCTTTGGAGAGGTCTCTTGGCCATTCATCTAAGTAAAACAATTTCCTTTCGCAGGTTAATCTTACTATCCAATCTCCCAGGACATCAAAGCTTTTGTGTAAGACCTACATTGGGTCCGCTTAAATTAAAGGGGCTCTGATGGCTGTCTAAGTCACTTCCCAAGCTTGTAAGGCCTACCTTAAAGCCGTTGTATAGGTTTCCTATAGAGTGTGTCACAAGGCCCACATAGGGGTCATCAGGGCTGCGCAGGGTTCTTTTTACAAGGATGTTGAGATCCTTTTGAAGGGGTTACAAGGGCTGCATAGAATTCTTTAAAAATGCCATAAGGCCTATATAGCGTCCCTTGAAAGGCTCACAAGGGCTCTATAAGGTGTTTTTACAGGGGCTATGAGGCCTGCATAGCGCCCCTTTCAAGGATGATATAGGCTCCTTTAGAGGTGTTCTAAGTTCCAAGGTAGGAAACCAGAGAGCCCGGTACAAAGGATGCAGGGATACTGTGGGGTTGGGCACTGCAGGGATACTCTGTGGGTTGGGCACGGCTCGGAGAGCAAGGAGAAAATTGGTTCCTGAAAATCTAAAACCCCACTGTCAGGGGGAAAAAAAGCTTGTAACATGGGTGGGCTTAAATATTTCCTTATTCAGCGCTTTACCTATTTCCATTGGACCTGCAGTTGCAAACCAGACGAAGTTCTCTCAACCTTCTCAGCAGACGTGCTAATGCGGTCCGGTTTCTTTGGATGCCCGACACGTATAGCTCGCTGAATTAGGGTCGCCGTCGTGTCCTGTACACTTGCTTGCTTGTAGCTGCCAAAATTTCAGCGATACCTTTCCCGTACGAGCACCCAACTAGGAAGAGCAACATCAATGCCAGACTGCATATCAGCATCTGCAACTGTAACTGACCAGACCCCCAGCGGACCATGCAAAACGGGAAATCCGGTAAGCCGCGGACGATGATGGGTCGCCCAACCACGTCACTGGTCCAAGGCTTTCCGCACACCGGGCTCGTCCTATAGCCTGTCCACGCAGTCTGGCGACTCCAAAACACCGAAACAAACACAGAATGTGCCTTTTCCAGAAAAGTTGCCATTGAGGAAGGAGACCTGAAACTGACTGCCGGTAGCTGACTAAATTCCTGCGCCTGAAATTGTCCGATTGGGGTTGCAATACATCACATTACAGCAGCAAGTCGTGGAAGGCAGTCAGCAGAAAGACAAAGAACCATGCTCCACAGGGGCAAAGATGTAGTCAGTGTCGGATGGAGGATGGAGAGTTGACGGAAGAGGCAGGCTGCCAAACTCCCTTGGCCCGGACCCGACCGCAAAGCCAGAGCCAGCATTGTGCAGACTCTGTGCATCACGTGAGACAAAGTCTGCAATGCACTCTGACCATACGGGATCCGCACAAGTCACAAGTCCCTGGCCTCCATCCAAGTTCCATTGGCCCCGTAGACCTTTAGCAATCCGCTCTTTTTGCCCTTTCTGTCTCACGGCCATGTTTTTTGCCAGCTGAGCAGCAAGGGGCGGCGGACGCGCCAACTGGTTGGCCACGCAGACCTGCAAAGCAGAGATCAATGCAGCTCATTTCCTAGACCCAGCGCCATGCACCACACCTTCTATCATGCTCACACTGACTGCTTTACCCGAACTTTACCCGAACTGCCCCAGCAATAATAGTGAAAAGTTGCGCCACAAGCTTGAGCTTGCATGTAAAACGCAGCTCTGTCAACCAATCATATGATGAGCGGAGGGTCTGTAATTGAATTGGCCTGCAGTGTCCTCCATCATCAGAAGGTGTTCCGCAAAGACTTCCATAGACTTCACATGCTGTAGCCCAACCTGCCTCCTCTTCGACGGTGGTTCGGCTGCTAGTCTCCGGTGTTGGGGCACGCGAAGTCGCTGCAGGGGCAGGAGAAGCCGCCTTCGGGCATACTGACATGTCCCCAAGCGGCTGTACTGATATGAGCTGGGTGCCCTGATTGACAAGCCTGTGGAATGTCCTGTGTAGACGTTGCCTCCGGGACATCCTCATGACGAACTCCGGGTCTCTTGCAACCACCCATGGATTTTTGGGAGCAAGCTGTGCTTGCCCAGGCGCCCAGAAGGTCTGCCAGGAGGATGCCGAGATGTAGATGCAGCCCACAAGGGCCCCCTTGATGGGTCTAAATTTAATGGATACAATGTCCCCCATCAGCTTCGAAGCCGATACAAGGCCTCAGCTGAGCCTCGGACAGCAGCTGCCGCTGCAATGCTGCCGCGACTGCACAGCTGCATCCCCGCGCCATCACGAAGATCTATCTATGAGGAGATGGGGTCTGGGTTGCGCAAAGCATTTGACAGCACAGCTCATAAAACTTTACTTCAATGCCCTATCCAAAAGCTTCCTACAAAGTCCAACAGCAGCTGAGATTGAAGGCATACATGGTATAACCTCACCATGCTGTCAAGCCGGCTGAGGCTTAGACTACTGCTGTTGACAGGATGGCGATTCAAAAGGCAAAAATAGCTCGCCTTGTGTCGCCAGGCCACATCAACATACACTTTCCAGTCAGTCAGATAGCCTAGCCAACACACTTCGCTTGACGATTACACAATCAGGTACGCTTTTGTTGGCAGTAAGGGCACCAGCAAAGGACTCTGAAGTCGGAACGCGCGGCACCCCCGTTTGGGGGACACTTATTGAAAGACTTACCGGGCAGTCACATCAAAAAGGACCCTAAGCTAAGCTTCAGGCCTCATCCCTCAATGCTAGGTCCACCGTCCTTCAGCTGTCCCAGGAAGCCAAAGTCCAGGTACATCTTGTGTGTCGTGGACAGGGCAGGGACCTGCTTGTAGCTACCATTCTCCAAGTTTCCCTTGATCTGTACCAGGAGTTTGCTGTAGCTCTCCATAAAGCCATCAGACTTCAACGCCTTGATCAACGCCCAGGTGAATGCCCCCTGGTAGATGCCATCCACATGCGCATCAGCGCTTGTTTGATCATCTTGGCAGCCTGAGAAGACCCAAAGCTGATGATCCTGATACTTTGCCTTCCTCAGTGCACCACGCAAGCCAGTGCCCAGCGGTTTGGCGACTGGGGCATCCTCATCCTGGTCCATCTCTGGTTGCGGCAAATACCTTAGCCGAACATCCTTTTTGCCGGAATGGCTGGTGGAATAACTTGTCTGCTCTTCCTGCTCAAGGTTTCCGACGTAGATCTTCGCACCGTCACCAGGCTTCAGGCTTTGTATGTGCGCCAGTGCCTTTGTCTTCGCGTCCAGAAGATCCTCAGCAGTTTTCACAGACTCATTGAACAAGGTGGAAATGGAGAGGCCAAAGAGATAATTGTAGTTCTGCTGTTCGTCGGCAAAGTATGTTCCTCTCTTCGGGTACTCGAGCTTCTCAAGTAGTTGAGTCATTTCCTCACGGCTCTTCTTCTTGATGTCCAGCTTTCCAGCGTTCACCTCACGGTAGAAACGAACCTTGGCAGCCACATCGTCTCTCTGACGGGTCAGCTGCTTGACCAACTTCTCTTTCTTAGCAGCCGTCAGAGGCCCTTCCTTGACCACCATAGTCTCACAAAGATTCGCAACAGTTGCTGAATGGCAGCAGTCAAAGACACAAGCGGCCTTGCAGCCCTCAGGCAAGGGATCGTAGAGCTTGTCGTGAATTTCAGAGTCCAGGATGACAGCTTCTGGCCACGGCTTGTCAAGGCAGTCCAGAGGGCAGATGCAGTCCGCAGGCATGGCTTTCTTGTCCACCGAGTATGTTGATCCGTGGCCGCTGTAGTGGAAGAAGAGCAGATCCCCGCTCTTGGCATCCTGGTAAAGCCACTGCATACCTTCCAGGATGACTTTCTTGTAGGGCCATTTGCTCTTGTCCTGGTCCTCGTTGAG